CTCTAACATTCTGTGATTCTGTGAATAATGCTCATAAAAAGCGTATTTGAGGTGAGTAGCTCAAATGCAAGGGTCTACCACGTAGTCAGCTGAGATTGGGTGAGAATGACTTCACTATTTTTTTTGTTACCATATAGAATATTATATACTGAATTGTACAGAAAGCGGTGCACACGATGTACCAGGAGACCCATATATAAGTACACATTAAAAAGAGTATCGCTCTTGAATTTTAGAGGGATGGTGCTGAAATTAATTTCTTTGTATGTGTGCCTCTGATTAACGACATAGTAATCTTTATCCTTTCAAATGTGAACCTTCATTCAAAACCAGCTCTGATGAGAATACCATGATTCTGTGATTCTGTGTAATTACTTTACTAGAACCACATTAGGCTGAAATGTGTTTCAGAAACTTCCATATGTTTCATGAACTGAAAGACGTTTTTACTGTTTGATTTCAGGTAAAAACTATGATAATGAGACCAATTTCAACTTAGTTCATGTGGTTATTTAGATGCAGTCATGTATTGTGGAAAACAGCATGGCATCTTAAGAACTACCATTATGAAAATACAATACTTTTCTGTTAATCAACTTCTTTTCACTTGTGCACTGTTATATTTTACAGCAACTAAAGTTTATGCACACTCCCCATCAGTTCCTACTTCTTAGCAGTCCACCAGCCAAAGAATCCAATTTTCGAGCTGCTAAAAATCTCTACGGAAGTACCTTTGCATTTCAGTGAGTACACATATTCAAATTAATTAAAGGCTGTCAAAATGCCATGCTCTTTTTTTGTTCTTTCAATTTGAGGTTTACAGCTGTGAATTTATTGTTTTAAGGGATTACTGATCATTTTGCATTCTACACTGTGAATTTGAACACTTTCTTTTTTCATTTTTTCAGTGGTTCACACATTGAAAATTGGCATTCCATCCTGAGGAACGGCTTAGTTGTTGCTTCCAATACGAGGCTGCAGGTAAATAGTAGTCTAAATAGACTTTAGCTAACCTGTGCATGCTTGATGACATACTAGCTTAGGCAGGTTTTCAGGGGGTGTGGTTCTGGTAGTCATATAGGTGGAAAAAATGGGTGATTTCAAATACCTTCTTGTTTCCTGGAAAAAGTACTTCTCTGATGCAGTTAAAATGAAGTAACGTTGTCTGCTAAAATGTCTAGGAAATCCCATTGCTGGAATCAGTGTTTCAGCTTTATGTTGCAGAGCAGCTTGGTACTGCTTAAAAGTGTTCTTGGGATTAAAATTTAGAGCTACATAAACCATCTCCATGTTATAGGATCGAAAGGCATACTGTATTTACAGGAACTGGGTTTACAGCATCTTCTCTTCTCCTCTAGTTTCCTTGGGAATCGAAATATGAGTGTACTGGCAAGGGGGGAGCTATTGCAGACTTCAGTTCATTTTCTCAGACTGAATCATCAGGAGACCACTATTGCAGAGCAAAGTAGGCCATACCAGAGAGACTGGAGAGCTGTAACTCCGTGTATTTTAGCATCAGGGTTTTGACAGCTGTTCCCTAGAGCTGAGTCCATGATACCTTGGAGGAGGATCCCAGGGTGCTGACTAAGGATTGGGGTGCAGAAGACACTGAAAAAAAGGAAAAAGAAATCTCTGCTGTTCCTCTTAGTGGTCTGGGTGTTTTTATTCCTATTGTTGGAAGAAACTTCCCCAAGAGAGCAGGATTTGCACACCAAAATTCACCAAAGTAAACCCCTTTGTTTACGCTTATTTTTTTATTGAGGGTTGAGATACTGGGAATAGGAGGAAGCAGTAAAGCCCTATTTTATGCAAGTCATCATTCTTAGATGTCTCATGCACCTAAGGCATATCCTGAGCCCAGTTCATCCTATATACCCCAGTACCTACCAGTGAGGAAAAATACCTACTCACCAAAGATGCTGTACAACATTGTAGGATCTGGAGGAGTGAAACATGTTTGCACATTCCTGTGAGACCTCTGGTACGTTGCAGAGACAATGTAAATATCATTGGGTCAGAAGAAATAAATAAAGGTGAGCATGACTCTGAAGCCCAGTGGTCGTAACATCTACGTAGGCAGGAGATATGCAGGGTTCTCATTTGTGTTCCAGCAACTTCTTTGTGTGTTTTCTTTAAGGGTTTTCCCACATAAAACAAATAATCCCTGGTGAAGTGAAATCCATACTTCCCCCTTTCCAGACAAGAAGATGACTGCAGGGCTAGTAAACAGTGCTTGCTTTTGTTGCTTAGCCCAAGCTCCATGACACGGACCAGTGATGTTGATGAAAAAGAGTCTTCCCTTTCTTCCTTTCTTTTCAGACAGCTGGTAGCTTTGTGGTTGAAGCACAGTCCTGCAGTGTGGGATATATGCATGTCCAAATTGGCTCAGGCAAAAGCTTGATTGAACACATTCCTCCAGTACTCAGGCTCAACTAGTGACTTAATTTTTCTATAGCATATGACCAGTGTCATCACCATCTCTTCACTTCTTACCTTAAAGAAAACAAAAGCAGCTGTTGCTGCTGTTGATTCACAGAGGCTGGCTTAGGCAGTGTTTCCTGCCAAGGTTTTGATGTGAGACATATGCTGAGCTTGCTCAGCCTTGTTAAGGCTGAGGTGTATTTGGCCATGTACAGAAATACTCCCTGTGGGCATCCTCCACGATAATGCTAGATTTAAAACCAGAAAATGCAATTTTATATATAAATCTGATTTAAAATTACATTTGGGCACTTGGACATAGTTTCTAGAGTATGCAGTACTTTAGTTGTATATTCGTAGCATGATTTTTTTAAAAGACTTCTTTGAACGTCATTTATTACCAGGCAATAAATTAGTGCAGTGGGGCAGATGCTTATGTACATTACAACCTCTTCCTATCATTATTATTTTGTCCAGATAACCAAATTAATGTTAAATAATCACTCCTCTCTTTTGCAGCTCCATGGTGCAATGTTTGGAAGTGGAATCTACCTTAGTCCATTGTCAAGCATATCATTTGGTTACTCAGGTGATATTTATAAATCACTCTAAAATTGAAGAAATAGAGGGGGGTATCTTAGTCTACTGCTTTTTATACCAGCTTCACTGTCGACAACACTGTATTAAATCTTACCTTTGTCAACCAAGATTTAATTTATTAAAAAAATATAAAATCTAAATTCCCTTATTAAATACCTATCCTCGTTTTCCAAGGTGCTCAATCTCTTAAAACTGTGCTTGAAGGAAATAGTAGCTAATACTGGATGCTGAGTGTAGTGAAGCAGGTCTTGATTATGTAGTGGAAATCCAGATTTGTGATTTTTTTGTCACTATCTGCCTAAGTCCATCTGACATTATCTATGTATTCATGCGCTTTTATGACCTGATCTGACAAAACAAATATTCATGAATAACCATGGTCAGTGGTGTGTATTTGTGTTGCCAAGTATCGCCATGTCAGGATTTACATAGAAAGTACTGGACAGTGTGTTTATTTTAGCATGAGAATGGGAAGGAACATCATTTGTCCCACTAGTAAATCCACAAGTGAGTGGCACAGAGTTTTCCATATAAGAATTATAGAAGCATAGTAGAAACACGATACACCAATGTGTATATTAAGAAACTGAGGTGACTCTTTCCTTTAGGTGTATTGTATTTATCATTTCCTTACATATGAAAGTGTTGGTATAGCTGAATGTGTGTTTGTGTGCATGTAGATGATTCTCAGAGTTTTAGTTATGCTTTCTGATTTCCAGTATTTTTAGGTAATGTCACAATACATTTTAAGAGTTCAGCGTTTTTTACTACTATCTGTGAACGTCAGTGTCAATAATCTCTTAAATGCACTTTTAGCTTTTCAGAGATTAACATGAGTATGGAAGCTTATTAGGACTCACTAAAAGTGCAGGTTGCAGTGTCTTCATCTAACAAAATGCCCTTAATTTTGGACAACATTGCTTTGTCAGCTTCAGTGTGTTTTTTCTCGTCTCTCTGCCTTTCTTGGTCCCTTCCATCCAGTGTCCTCCAGAAAGGAGGCCTGTGTTCTTATGAAGTATGTAATACTTGACGCCAGTAAAAACCATGGAGGAGTCCTACGCTCCCTGTTCCTTCAAAGAGTTAAACTTCCCCATAATTCAGTCTGTGTTTGCAAACTGCCCAGAAATATGCAATACTGGAAAGGCAAGAAGCCTGTAGTAGCATAGAATACAGGAACTTTACATAAACCAACATGGGGAATACAAAAGAGATCTAAGACACAAATGTAGATGTTTAGATTTCTGAGATGGAAATTGGATCCAATGTGGCTGACAAATAATCTAATACTTTTACATGAAGATAAATCAATTAAACTGACATAAACTTTAAAACTTTAAATAAATCAATGACTCCTAAAAATTAATTAGACTTTAGTCTAAATAGTGTTAAAGATTAACATATGAAGTTCTTTCTCCTATGATTTCACTGTCCCTCCCATAGTAAATCAGACTGTGTTCAGCCTGAATATGCTCAGTTAGACCCAAGACATCCTGACATGCAACTCTGTTAAGCAACTACCGAAGAGCATTCCTGAGCTGAATTCATTGGCATTTCATAGAATCATGGAATCATAGAATGGTTGGGGTTGGAAAGGACCTTAAAGATCATTGATTTCCAACCCTCCTGCCCTGGGCAGGGACCCCCTCCACTAGACCAGGTTGCTCAAAGCCTCATCCAGCCTGGCCTTGAACACCTCCAGGGATGGGGCATCCACAGCTTCTCTGGTCAACCTGTTCCAGTGCCTCATCACCCTCACAGTGAAAAATTTCTTCCTAATATCTAATCTAAATCTACCCTCTTTCAGTTTACAACTGTTACCCTTGTCCTCTCACTATACTCCCTGATAAAGGGTGCCTCCCCATCTCTCCTGTAGCCCCCTTCAGGTACTGGAAGGCTGCTATTAAGTCTTCTCGGAGCCTTCTCTTCTCCAGGCTGAACAACCCCAGCTCTCTCAGCCTGTCCTCATAGTGGAGGTGCTCCAGCCCTCTGACCAATTTCGTGGCTCTCCTCTGGACTCTCTCCAATAGGTCCAGGTGGTTTTTATGTTGGGGGCCCCACATCTGAACACAGTACTCCAGGTGGGGTGTCACGAGAGCAAAGCAGAGGGGGAGAATCACCTCCCTCAACCTGCTGCTAATGCTTCTTTTGACACAGCCCAGGACACAGTTGGCTTTCTGGGCTGCAAGCGCACACTGCCGGCTTATGTTCAGCTTCTCATCCACCGATACCCCCAAGTCCTTCTCCTCAGAGCTGTTCTCAATCCATTCTCGCTCATGTTTGCCTGCTTTTGCGCCTACTTAATGCTAACTTGACTTTCCTAAGGTCTTTGCAGTACATGTGGATGTACTGGTAATTTACGGGATTAAACTGAGATATTCTCTGAGAAAGTTAACTAGCCTTTTGGGTGCCATGCAAAGGGCCATGATCCCCAGTGTGCTAGCTGCTCCATTCTCTGTACTTAACTTGGCTTATTATGGTGTTTATATGCCAGGGTATTTTACCTGATTTTAATATTCCTAGGGATGAACAAGAAGCAGCAGAAGGTGTCAGCTAAAGATGAACCAGCTTCAGGCAGTAAGGGCAGCAATACATCACAGGTACAGTACCTCAGCCGTCTCTGGAAGATTTATGGTTTTATGCTTGGGAACTTGATAGCTCAAGAGGAGGTAATAATTCCCTTTGTGAAAGCTAACAGTTTTATTTTATTGAACAAAGTCAACAATTTCAGAGGCTCCAAACATCAAATACAGCCCAACTGCTGTAGTGACAATTTATGGAGTATACTGCAAGTCTTGTGCCGTTCTTTTCCAAGCAGAAGAATTTGGGAAGAGAATGAAAATGAAATACAGATTGAATTATGACCTGTAGCAGGAGTTTGCCTTCTGAGTTGCAGACTTGCAGAAGTATGATGCAAAAGGAATCAAGAGTGCTTATTGCTGGAAAATGAGTAGGATTTCATTTATAGCAAGTCAGTTTTTCATGGTTTTTACATTTTAAACTATTACAATTCTGCTTTATCTAGAGCGAACTCATCACATTTATGTGTAAGGCTAAATTTTGAGAACAAAATCTTATATCTGTCTCCATAGTTAACACGTAGAAACTACAGAATAATCTGGCTTGGGAGAGAGATTGGTGTGTAGAAACAGAAGTCCTCAGAAATGGGAAGGCCAGTAAAATATCAGGGTAGTGGCCAAAAATTGGTGAACAAATTCATCTTTTTTCTTCTGCTATCAGTTTGTTTATCAGTAACATTCTGATATTTCAAATAATATTATTAATTGTGTGATAATTGGGAATTTTTCTTTCTGGATAAGGGAATTCAAATCCCTCCTACTGTAATCCATACAAATAATACAAATGTTTTTAGAAATTCTAGTACATTTAGAAATACAGTGGAAATTGTTTGGTAAGACTGCCTCTATCTTTGTTCATTAATAAACCACTGAATATGGCATCCCTCTCCTATGTTACTTTTTCACTCAGTTTGTCTTACTGCACTAATTAAGTTTTCTCATGTTTTTACATCTCAGTCACAGAAGAAGGGACAACAGTCACAATTTTTGCAAAGCCGTAACTTAAAATGCATAGCCTTATGTGAAGGTAAGCTGAAAGCCCTTGAAAAACTGTTTTGGTCATGGACACAGTGTTTGTGGATGCAAATCAGTGAGACATGTAGTTTTGTAGTATTGGTTGTTTTTAGGTAAGAGGCTACTGGTAGGCGTACAAGTACTTGCTTAGTAGCTGACCTTTATATTTCAGGTCAAAACATTTCCCTCTTCAAACAATACCTGTAACACGTGCTGAATTTTCATGAAATAATCATATGCACATAGTGACTGTTCATCTGGTCTGTCTTTCAAATGTGATGATATTCTTAAGCCATCAAGATAACCCAAGTCATCGCCTTTATTTGAAACACTGATTTCTAACAAGTTCTTGACAAATGCATTAAACATCTAAAAGTCATAAAAAAGAGCTTTCCTATTGAATTTCCAAATAATTTTTCACTGTTAAGGCAAGTATAATGTTCATCTGGTAATCAGTCTCTTCTTTCTGACTGCTACAGAAATTTTGTGAAGTTAAAATCGAGTGCATATGAGTGCAGTCATTCTCGAAAGGCTTGACTATTCCTTTAATAGGTAATGAAACCTCAGCAGGTTGTGAGAACAAAGAATTACAAAATTTGAATAAGATTGGTACCAGCAGTTGGTAATTAGTCTCACTGGACAAGCAAAAAGAAATTATATTAAACTCAGTTTGGTCTTCATTTCAAGCATTTATTTTTAAAAGTAAAAGTTAAGACAGTCAGTGGAAAATAAATGTTTCCTGAGGTCCAGTCTAAACCTCCCCTGGAGCAGCTTTGGACCATTCCCACGCATCCTGTCACTGGGTACCCGGGAGAAGTGCTCAGCACCTCCCTCTCCGCTTCCCCTCCT